GGACAACCTATTCCAGTGTTTCACCACCCTCGTTGTAAAAATTTTATTCCGTATATCCTGTCTAAATTGCACCTCTTTTACTTTAAAACCATTTCCCCTTTGTCCTATTTTAACAGGCCCTTCTAAAAATAGTTTGTCACCGTCTTTCCTGTAGGCCCCCTTTTGTGCACTGGAAGACTGCTGCAAGTTCTCCCCAGAGCCCCCCGTTCTCCAGGCTAAACAACCCCAACTCAGCCTGTTTTAATAGGAAAGGTGCTCCAGCCCTCTGAGCATCTTTGTGATCCTCCTCTAGACCTGCTCCAACAGGTCTGTGTCCTTTGTATTTGGGGACCCCAGAGCTGGACACAGCCCTCCAGGTGGGGGCTCACAAGAGCGCAGTAGAGGGGCAGAATCATCTCCCTTGACCTGCTGGCCACACTGCTTTTGACATAACCCATGATACAATTGGCTTTCCAGGCTGCAAATGCACATTGCTGTCTCATGTCCAACTTTTCATCCACCAGTAATGGACTTAGACTTACGGAGTTAGATTGACTGTGAAATCACACTGTGTAAATGACGATGCTTCAGGTGCTATTACAGACAGTAATGTGTCTGTAACATGTCTATCCCTCTGCTGGGGATAAAAGCAGTCTGTTTCTAAACCAGTAGAGGAACACCTCAGATCTATATATGAAGTATTTTGGTATCAGGTAACTGCAAACCATCTCGAAGAGTGGAATTATCTAGTCGTCGGGGAAGTCATGCTCAGATTCCCTCCTCAAAAATGCTGTGGATACTGTCCACCTCAAGTCCCTTAGTACATCCAAGTGTTGTCTTGATGCTGAATACCATAAGAAGAGAAAAACACTTATTTAATCACTACTTAAAAACTACTCCTAAAGCTTGTAACTGTTCCGGATAAGGCATTGAAACCTTTTGGAATGCTAAAGCAGGGCAATACCGAGACACGCAGCTGAGTTACTCTGTTAGTCTCTTCATTAACATAAGTGCTATGTTTGAAGTGCTTTTCTTGTTTCACCGAGATGAACACCAGAAATTGTTGAAAACTGTTTCCAGGTTATAAATAACCCTACCCCCAGATACTCATTTTGGATGACAAGTGCTGGGTAGGAGTGGATCTGTGACATAACACTGATTTCCTATCCTAGGAGAGTAAGATCTGGTAGGTGCCTTTAAACATTCTCCCTAGACTTCCTCCAGTTTTCCTTTCCCTGGTTCCTTGTCTCTGCAGGTGTGCAGGATTGTCTCAGATGGGCATCATCTCTGTCCACTTTAAGTAGTAGGTGAAGGGCGCAGCATCTCACCTGAGGGATGGTTAGTGGGTCTCTTCAGAACTACTCTTCTCAGCCTTGAACCATGACTTTTTTAATATTGAAGCCAGTATTTAGCTAGAATCCCTGTGTTCTTCTCTGGTCAGCTGGGTGTCAAGGTAAATTGTATCAGATGGTTCAAAAAGTGTGGAAGCTGGTGGAAGTGGTGGAATAATGTGTGAAGAGCAGGGGAAGAGTGTTTGGCTTGTGAAAGAGCTGTGACTTCCCCCCCTCCTGCAGAGTCTGTGAATAAGAGGGAAAGTATAACCATGAAGGCTCCCTCCTGTGTTCCAGTTTCACTTAGGAGCTAGATTTTCCTTCACTCATGAATAAATAAGAAGACTTTGCAGAGGGTTACATCTCGCAAACTGTCACATACTTGGTCTTCATGTGCCAAAACAAGATGGAAAGAAATGGCCAAAGCCCACCATGCTCAGTTTTCTGAGCCAAAAACTGCATTAATGGACTCTCTTTTTTAGAAGTTTTACTTACGGTTAATCAGTTTGGAGGAAAGTCCACTTACAAGAACTAAGATTAGGAGGGTCAAAGGTGGCATCAAGGTTAGATACCAGTTATTTTTGAAACCTTTTGGAATGCTAAAACACTGAAAACTTGTATCAAAATTGATATCACTGGTGCAAATAAAAACTTGTGTGATGGCTATGCCTGTTTCATGTCTTTGCATCCCCGCTTTTTTTCCTTGAAGAAATATTTTACAATGTGCCTTATGTTTTTGCATGAAAAGCCTGTTTTCATTTAAAAAGAATATTATTTTTCTTTACTATGGCACACATAAGGTTGCTTCAGCTAAAACCTTCTAGTCTAGTGAAGTTGTCCCTCCCCATGGCAGAGGGTTTGGAACTAGATGATCTTTAAGGTCCCTTCCAAGCAAATCCATCCTAGGATTCTGGGATTCTGCTGTTCAAATGAATATGGAGGAATTTGTGTTCTTCCATAGTGAATTCAGCCACTCTTCGCATATAGGGAGGCTGAAGGGATGGTGATGCAGACAGGGGCCTGATGAGAGGATGCCAAAATCTGCTTTTATTTTGAAGTCCCAATGACTTGTTTTTCTGTCTCTCTTTGGGTAAGCAGTTTCACTGCACTGTTTCTTGAGAAGGCAGGATTAAGTGCATTAGTGCAAACTGCTTTGGAGCAATACACAACTTTGAAGTAGTTGTAACCTTGGTGACAGCACAGAAAAAAGCAAATATCTTCAGGGTGAGACAAAGTGTCACCAAATGCCAGTGGCAGAACTGTTGCCGATCCCACCTGCCCCAAACACTGCACCAGGGCCTTGTTAGCAGCCGTGAGACAGAGCCTACCTGACTTCCATTTAGGGCCCACATCAGCATTAAAAACATATAGATTTGCTTGTGCTTACAGCTCATTTTAGCTGGTGAACAGTGGCAAAAGTGTACAACAGAGAAGTGGCAGATAATTTGTTGGTAGGCTATCAACTCATCTTCTTTGTGTTATGGAAACCTAGGTCCAAGTCCCTCTGGGGTGATGCAGACCAAAATGTGTTGATCTGTGCCTGCCTTGTTGCTCACAGCAGTTCTTGGTGCCTTTGTCCAGGTGCACTACAGTAAGATGTGCCACTACGGGCATAAAGAAACATATATAGGGACATAACCCCTCCTTTCTCACTTCAGGAAACCAATTATGTCCTTTACCTTTTTTCTCTTATGATCCACTCTGCAAGTTTAAACACTGTCTGACATAATTTGAAACTACTCTAGGGCATCATTAGTATCAGCTGCATGCTGTTCAGCATCATCTTAAATCCATAGTTGATCTGTGCTTCTGTCACACCAGTATATACCTAGGTGAAATATATAGGCTGAAAGAAACTCATGATATTCAGCAAGTCATGCTGGGTTTTTTGAAAGTCTGTTTAAAAAGCACATCCTTAGCAAAAATTAGGACAAGGGTCAGAAATAAAAATGTTAAAGCAAATATGTAAAGCCTGTGAGATAAGGGACATGAACAATGAAATGCAAGATAAATCATCTAATCCCTAGTTGTTGTCCATGGCACCTGCAATATAATTGGAATTGTTTTGACTTAGAAGAAAGATTAATTAAGCCATAGTTCTTCAATTCTTGACCATGCACTAATACAGTTTCAGCATGATTGTTGTTTTCTGTCACCTAGTGGTTGAGGCCACCTACAGGGAGAATGATGAGAACTTAAATGCCCACTCAGGGTTTAAAGAGGGCCTTAAGCCCAGCCCTGCTGTGCTATGGTTAAGAAAGATGATAAAAAAGGGGTGGGTGATTGTATGTGTTTTTGAATGAATGTTCAGGATCCTGTGCTTTCTTGGGGCTTCTGTGTTCTGTGTGTTATTTTGTGCCTTGAGTATTCCTGCTGGACTAATTTCTCGTAGTTTAGGTGCAAGATGACTGATTCTGTCATTGCAAACAGGCTTTAGTAGGAGTTGGCAGACTTTACATTTAAAAACCAAAGTGCCTGTGGACTCCCAGGTACCTAAGCAGAAATCTCAATGTTCAACTTTAGAAGTGTGGATACTTCTGCTATTTTGGGACCAAGGCATTGAGCAACATTGCAGTGTTTTGTACCTGCTGCCCAAATTTGATAAGCAGTGTTCCCACTCTTCTTCTGTACTGTATGTGAGTAGTGACAGTGCCACAGTTCTGTTCAGCGTTGTTTGACTGGAAGCATCATTTGCTGATGGAAACACATTCCTAAATGAACACCCCCAGGAGCAGAAGTATATAGTAGCAAGTATGATGCTGTGACTTGGAGTAAAGTAGTAGTCAGCACAGCAGCAGAATCACCATTTTGAAGTCCAATTCTCCTTATATAAATCAAATCAAGTCTGTTTTTAAGGATTCTGGTCCATATGAATGAGGATCATCTTCTACATCTCTGTGTACTTCTATAGGACTTCACCAGACCATTGTATCTCTCCCATCTTAAAATGTTCTTAAAATACCAGCCTAGCTCCATCCTTGTTGCAACAGAGAAAGCCCCTGAAAAGTCTTACAAGTCTTTGGTTGATCAACATTAACCCTTTCCTACAGATTTAGCTTAAAAAATAGAAACTGACAGGTAGGATTAAAACTCTACTTTTACCAGGAGCAGATGGTTCTGGAGGTGCCTCCAGTTCATGCTTGGTGAGTGATATTTATCAGGTGAACGTAAGATCTGATTTAAAAAAAAGGATCTCGTAACCTTGTGGAAGATTACAGCAGTTGCCATGTGCATCGGATCCCCTGTTTAGAGAGAGCAGTATTTTGTGTCCAGGAGGAATATCAGACACCTGTAATCTGTCAGAGAAGTTTCTTTGTAACACTGGAGCTTTAGATTTTGAAGGTTTATATCCTTTATGCATTTCCTTTAACCTCTTAAATATGTTGGGTGTTGTATATGCTAACCCTGAACTCAGCTCCTACGGACCTTAACTTTGTACTTGTAGCCACTGCACTGAAGTTAATATTTTTACATGAAATAAATCCAAACTATTAATGTACAAAATACATGACTGATGTAATTTACTGTAAAAGTAGTGATTTTCAGATGCATAGCTATTCTGTGATCATAAACCTGTTTGATGAAGAGCTTAAATATTCCACTAGGAACCATAGATGAAAAATCAGAATTGTCTTAGATCATGAACTTTGCTTTTTCAGCCTGCTGAGTCTGCATTTTCTCTTTCTGCAGCTTGTGGATGTGACCTGGCTCAAGGAGGATTTTTTGTGAGACAGGGAGACTACATCTGTACTTTGGACTACCAGAGACTCTATGGCACACGGTGCTTCAGTTGTGATCAATTCATTGAGGGAGAAGTGGTCTCAGCATTGGGCAAAACCTATCACCCAGACTGTTTTGTGTGTGCTGTCTGCAGGTATGTTTTCTACATGAAGTTCTGTTTCATTTAAAAGCTAGATTTTGAAAGAGGGATGCCAGGCATTCAAACCTATAGCCTATAGATGGGAAAAAAAAAAAAGTTCTGCTTTCTGTTTTCCCCCCCTTAAAAAATTGAAAAAAAAAAAAAAAAAAAAAAAAAAAAAAAATCTGCAAACTTTGAGTACCTCCC